ATATACAAATGATAAAAAATCGAAATAACAAACTTACAAATAAAAAAAGACAAAATCACTTTGAAAAGTGGCATATCTTTAGAGGCTGGAAGCACGGGTGTAAGGTCTGTGACGAATGCAATTACCATTCACACCTATATTGCAAAACATGCAAAAAAGTAGCGAATGGAATACATAAGCGGTGTGAATGCGATAATTTTCTAAGGAAAGAAGCGAGAAGTGAAAGCTTCATTATTTCATAATGGTTTCAAGTTCCTGACTCATCTATTATATCCTCGAATAATTCGTATAACCTTACTGTGACATCAATGTCACACCTCTTTAAGAATAAATAGTTTTAATTTTTTGTTTTTCCATACGCTTGGATAACAATCAAGAAAAATTCTGCATGCAGGGACTGTAACCCGATTTTGTGATTTATTAAAATTTAAAAATACTACAGTACTATATTGCGATAACTATACAGTATTGTCATTATATCCGTGTAACAATACGTGATCTGTTGTACGACATCTGATTATTTGTATAAACTATAAAAAGGTCGAATGTACGACCATTTCCTGCCAAAAAAATTTTTTCATAAGTTGCACCACTTCTATTCAAACAACAAACTATGTCGATTAATATTACTCTTCCATCGGTCGAAGAAGTTAATGAATGGTGGCCGACTGATGTTGCTGCTTTTCTGAGATCTAATAAAGACAAGTTATTTCTCAAAGAAGAACACATTAAAATACTTGAAGATAACTATGTATCTGGACCCGTTTTCCTCGATTTGAATGTGGACAAGCTCATGCAAGACGGGTTAAAAAGAGGACCAGCGGAAGTCATAGCAAAGTTGAATAATAAAATTAAGGGTGAGGAGCAAGGCAAGTACTATGACTGAAGTGAGTCTTAATAAATTAGTCAACGTAGTGAACATGATATACTCGATAACCACCTTTCATTCACTGGCATTTGTTTCTAGTGAATCTTTCAAATCTTTTTAGTCAAATGGTATGTTTATTTATGTAAAGTATTGCAATTTTGATATGCTATATTCACGGTGATTTTTCTAGGACATTTCAGGTAGCTCTGGTAGTGTGAGCACATCGCCTTTTTCAATGTTTATAAAGGCGGTAGTTGATAACTCGGAAATTACGAGAAAAAACTCAGAAACAATGGTTCGATTTATAAAAGAATTTAGTAGAACTGATCATGAGACAAGTACTGGTTTTCAAATGCGTATTCTTTGGCTTTTCCATTTTTATTGATCCTATTTTGCATACTTAAGCTTCCATAACACGGGCAAAAGCTTACCAGAGCACCGTGTTTGACGATGTTGATGTGGAATATTTTCTCAGCAAGAATAATACTCACCTTGGTTCCTTTCAGCAAAATGGAACAGTTAATACTTACCTGCGAAGAAATAGTGTACCAACTGACACAGAAGATGATGTCCAGGAATGGTTTAATGGACTAATGGAGAACCTCCCAAATTTCTCAAAGAAAATCGCTATAAGAGATACACACACTAATATATACTTTAGTGGATATAAGCCGGATATCAGTGTCTTTATAGAAGATGATATTATAAACGATGTGTATCTTACCATGTTTGTACAAACGCTTTTGGAGGTGAAAAAAAGGAAGAGTTTCTCTAATTTGCTTGATGAAGACAAGGGTCAGGTGTTGAATTATATTCGTATCCTTATCCGTCAACAGCCATTGCGAGAGCTTTTTGCAGTATTTCTTTCAGACGGGTTTTACTTTTATGTAATGGCTTATGATAGGAGAACTAAACGGTATAGTGAGCATACGACCAATTTAAAGACTGGCTTACGCCTTTTTTGGGTGTTGATCAATTACAGCTCGCCTTTTACAACGATGGTTGGACCTAAGTCTATTGATTTCAAACCGTCGCAGGGAGATTTTACAAGAATACGCTTAAGAGAATATTTGGGTGCGGGTTCATCTTCAAGCGTGTATAAAATTGACTGGGAAAATGCTTCATCTGCCATAAAGATTTTTAATAATGGCTATGATCTGAGTAATGAAGTGAATGCATTAAATTTCTTGAATAAGGGTAATTTCCCGAATGTTCCAACATACATTGCACATGATGACAACTCAATAATTATTCGCCCAGTCTGTGAACGATTTGGTAATAGGTTCCAAGTATCTCACGCTTTACAACTTCTTCAACTTCTAGTGCTCATTCATAGGGAGCAAATTTGTCATCGAGATGTGCGTCCCGAAAACATTTTATTAGATAATGATAACAACAGACTTGTACTTGTTGACTGGGGATCAGCAATTCGAATCACGAATCATAATCAAATATACACGTATGAAGGAACAACCACATTTGCATCACCAAATATTCTAGAAGAAAATTTTGGTCCTTATGTACCTAGTGTATCCGATGATTTACATTCCTTCGTGTGTACGATGTATATCTTACGTAACCCATCAGAAATGCCAGCTATTTCCGAGAGGGATTTGTCATCAAAAGCACGAGTAATTAAAGAGTACTGGAACGATAAACTGGAAGGTCCACTTTGGGCAGAGATGATAAATGCATCAGCCGATAAAAATTATAATTTGCTAAAGAAATGTTGTTATATGTTTAAAAAGTGATAATATATCCGGTAAACAGATTTAAATTTATTAGTTTAGAGTTAGGTAATAACTTCTTTTAACAACCCGTTACACATTTGTAGTTAAGAAATTAATTAAGTTATTCTCACTTGAGCTTTTTAATGGTATTGATAAATCAGAAATAGCACGAATTAGATCTTTTGCCACGAGGTTTATTTTAAATTTGTCTGATAGTAATGTTGACCGTGTCATTGCTGGAGTCTTGAGAGCAGAACCAGATAATTTAGTATTTAACCATTTAACCCCAACCGGGTACATATTTCTGTTATCTTAAATATATTCTTTCTTTGCCTTAGCTTTTATAAGGGACGGAGCCATTAATACTCCTATGTTCTGGCGAAGGCAATTCGTTTGTTCTGTAAAAATATAACCTAGTTGCTCGGCATGTCATTGGTCTATAATTGGACTTTGTCTTGTCATGTGAGGATTTTTCAAGAACTCTGTCAGCTGATTGACAATATGAATATCGTTAATTTGAGAATTCGAAGTTGAATCATTAGAATATTTTTGATTTAAGTTCGAATTAATTTAATGTATGTTCTGATAATTCCATATTAAATAGAATTCTCCATTAAATATTAACTTCTCCGTTATTTGCTTACGTGTTAAACTAGTTTGTAAGTATAGAGTTCATTCATTCATAAAATTAATATAGTACTCTATAATACATCTCTATAAATCTCAAATTCGTTGGGCTTATAGTGAGTTTAGCTACGTCTTGGCACAACTGTTCACCTGATATAACATTTCTCATAATTTTCTTATTTGGCTGGTACGTATAATATTTCTCTGAATACAGTCTAACTTCTCTATAGTCACTTCCTATATAATCACAAATTCACTATAGTTACATTTATAAATTTACCAACCTTTTTTATATACAATTTTTTTGCTAACCATCTATATAAATTGTTCTCTATCTAGTCACATTATAATTATATATATTTAAACTTTTGTTTCAATAAATATATCTTAAAAAATAAAATTATTTTTATTATTTTTCATTAAATGAAAATTTTTTTAAAAAATATTTTTAATCGATCGATGATAGTTTCACATAAAAGTTAAAGTTTATTAAGTAAATTGATCTTTTCATATTAAGCAACAGGTAAAGTTGTTCGGAAGAACAAAATACATATACTATAAAATTTTCAGATTTTTTTAAAATTTTTTTACTAATTAACTTTTACAGTTTACGTTTCTACGAAAAACAATAATTTTTTTCGTATAAACGTAAACTGTAAAAGTTAATTAGTAAAAAATTTAAAAAAAATCTGAAAATTTTATAGTATATGTATTTTGTTCTTCCGAACAA